TTTTTGTTGTAAAGCTCTTTGATCATCTCTGCATCACAGCCCTCATCTTGCCTGTTGAACTTTGAATTTAGCCCACTGAGGCCCTTTTCACTTCAAGCCCTAGTAGATAAAAAGAGAGTTGTGCGAGCTACCTTGTTTAACTTGGTAGCGGAGCTGAGATCCGGACTGGCTTCGGCCTCTCCGGGGAGCTCCAGGGAAACAAGTGAGCCCAATGACGCGGACAGGACCCAATCCGCTGTAGATCCACTTAGGTTAGATTAGCTTGACGCCATCGTGTTGCGCCCGTGCCGTTGTTTGAACTTCGATTTCCACCCTTTAATTGCTGTTTTGCAGTGCGTTGCAATGGCTGGTGAGGGAGGTCCTCAGGATTTTCAAGAACTAGAGTTCACTGGTACGTTGGGTGCTGATGGATCAGATGGTTCAGGCATCAATGCAGGCCAGGTGTTTGCAATGTTTCAGCGCCTCACTGAAAACACACAGAGTGCAACCAATGCAGCCGTACATGCCGTGCAGCAGATGCAAGCTTTTGTTGCTTCCTCTTTTTGACAGCTGGGATGTCTGCATCAAGGCCTGAGGATGTCACCAAGGTTTTGAAGCAGCCAACTGTTTTTGACCATGAGAAAGGACGATCAAACTAGGAATTGGCCAGAATGGGCATTTCAAATGAGACAATGGTGGAGGAAAACCCTGATCGTATTCCAAACCTTGCTGGAATGAGTGATGCTATGAAAACCAGGTCAATGAAGCTTTATGCAATTTTAGCCACGTATATTCGAGGCCCAACTCTGAAGATCGTTCGTGCAGTTGAGCTTCACAACGGGTATGCTGGTTGGGGTGCTCTAGTGACACATCTGGAGCCACGCAGTCGACAGAGAGCATTGGCCTTGTTGGATGGCTTGACTTCCTTTCATTTTGGCAAGCGTACAATCACAGAGGGAGTGTCAGAGTTTGAACGTCTTGTGCATGAATATGAATTAGCAGCTGGTGGTGGTACAAAGTTTAGCGAAGAGTTGAAAATAGCAACATTGTTGAGAAACGCTCCAGCCACCATCAAACCTCAGTTGCAATTAACTTTGAGTTCTGCCACAACCTACACTGGCTTGAGAAATACATTGTTGGCTTATGATCGTGCTTCAGTCAACTGGAACGCAAGCAACGTTGTTGGTGGCACTCTGGGTTCAGAATCAGTGAGGCCCTCCATGGATACTGGAGGCACGATGGACGTGGATCGAATCACAAAAGGTGACTACAAGAGCAAAGGAAAAGGCAAAGACCGTTACAAAGGCGACTCCAAGGGAAAAGGAAAGGGCAAAGGCAAAGGCCCTCCACTCCCTTACAAAGGAAAGGGAGGAAAGGGCAAAGACAAAGACTCTGGAAAGAAAGGTTTTGAGAAGGGTGGCAACAAGACAGACTCTGTTTGCTGAAATTGTGGAAAGTCTGGACATCTTTCAAAAGATTGTTGGAGGAAGAAGCAAGTGCGGCAAGTTGAGCAGCAACAGTCACCTGCAGAGCCAAGTTCAAGTCAGAGCAATTCAAGTGCAACCGCAACCACTTCACAGGCAGGTGGTGCTACAATTCGACGTGTTGCAGTGGTCGATTTCACACACATGGCATGCAGCAGTGATGGTATGATTCGTGTGGTTCAGAGCTTTCCATGTTCCGTGCCCTGCTTTGACATGGCCCATCATGATGACGAGGACTGGACTTTCTTTGATCCTGCTCACGTGCGTCCTGTCAGTGTATGGGACGATGCCAACCAGGAAGACGTGGATCGAGAGATGGTGGAGGTGATTCTTGACTCTGGTGCCGACCTTTCTTTGGCTCCTGTCGAATATGCTTCGTATGGAACTCCATGCATGCAGTCAAAACAAAACGTTGTTCGTGATGCCCAAGGCAACCAGATCGCTGTGTCAGGTGAAGTGATATTGACATTGGATCTTCTTGGGCCGTCAGGTGATGCTGTGGAGGCGCGTGAGAAATCTCTTTTGGGGCCAGTGCAGCAGCCTATTCTTTGTTTGGGCAAATTCTTTCAGAATGGTTGGAGATTGAACCAATCTGCAACTTCACGTTTGGCTTTGTCGAAGGAAGACGTTGCAATTGATGTGCATTACAAACAAAACTCTCTGAAAGCATGTGCTTTTATTCGAGCTTTGACTGGTGATGATGTTTCAGTGACCCTTGTGAGTGAATTCTCTCGGGTACAACATCGTGAAGGCTGGCATTGTTTTGAGAGTGAGGAGTTTTGGTTTCCCGTGCATTACAGCAAGAGCAGTGTCCAGTGTCAGATTCAAATCTGGTTTGCCTGCCTATATTCCAGATGCATGGCCATACAGGACAACATTGTTGTACATTGAAGGCAAATGGATAATGGTGGAATGCAATCAGTTGTACGTTGAAGAGGTGATGCCATATGGTCGACATGGAAGGACTGAATGCCCAATGACCACTATTTTGCATCAAGGATCCTTGCTGTGGCAATTGTTCTTCAGGTCACCTTCTGAATGTCCTGAAAGGTTCCGCATGTTTCGACGTCCAGTGCATCAACGTGAATCTCCTGTTGAGCCAGCACGTGTGGAGCAGACAGGCCCTGATGAATCTTTGTCATCACCAGAAAATGTAGAAGAAGAGAGCAAAGCTGAAACCAGAGAAAGTGGAATCCAAGCAAGTCCAAACATTGAAGCTGTGCCTCACGACCCTGTTGTGACATATGCACCTCCAAGCAAGATCAAGGTTGGTGGTGTGGAGCTTACAGAAGAGAGCACATTGAAGGTCATGAGAGAAGCGTGTGAATTTCTTCAGATTGGAAAGACTGGTTCAAAAGCAAAATGCTGGAAAAGACTCACTACTCATCTGCATGAGTTTGAAAGCAAGATGGCTGCAAATGTTAGCAAAGAACTTTTTCAGCTTGACCGTCGTATACCTACAGCCGTGCATTTGGCCAGTCGACCAAGTGAGGAGTTGGTTATTTCTCATGAGCTCACACACCTTCCAACAGAGCCTTGGTGTGAGACATGTATGGCAACCAAGGCAAAGGAGGACAAGGCATTCTCCCTTCCTCGTCTTGGCGAGGAAATGCGCAGTGTACCAACTTTCAATTTTGACTATGCAATTACAAAATGCACAGATGTTTCCAGTGAAGAGATTCCTGTGCTTGATGCCCCAGTTGTGACAACCTTTGTTGGTGTGGACAACTGGACACGTTCATGCATTGCCATCCCAATTGTTGAGAAGGGTACACGTTCTTTGAAGCAGCTCACCCAGGCAGTTTGCAGATTCTTGAGCAGGTTGAGATATGAAGAAGTTTGCCTCAAATCTGACAATGAACCAAGCTGTAAACAGTTGCAGGAGTCCATCATTGCAACACGTGCTGCTTTAGGTCTCAGAACTTTGTCAAGCTATGCTCCTGCAGGTGTAGGACATGCAACTGGCAATGCAAGAGTTGAGCGCATGATCCAAACAATTCGTCGACAGGCAATGTGCCTACGGTTGGATGTTGAGAAGAACTACAAAGTCAAGCTGGACACTCATGCTTATGTGTGGCCTTGGTGTTTCAGTCATGCCAGTTTTCTCATTCAAAGATTTCAGGTGCAGAAGCAAGTTGGCATGACTGCATATGAACAGGTGACAGGTGCTCACTATCAAGGCAAGCTGTGCAAGTTCTGTGAACCAGTGCTTTATCGTACAGCTGCTCGAAAGAAAGGAAACATCGCATGGTACAGAGGCATTTGGCTTGGCAAGAATGAAGATTCTGACCGACACATCATAGGCACACCTACAGGCATTTGTGAATCCCGCACTGTCAAGAGAATTGATGGAAAATGGAATATGATGCATCTTTACGTCATGAGAGGATTGCCCTGGGATCCAAGAGCTTTGGTGGCAGATGGTTCACTGAAGGAGCTTCGAAACAAACCCGTGGCCATTCGTGAGGATGCGATCACAGGTGGGGATAGCGATGCCGAAAGTGATTTGCCGGTGCCTCCAACTGAAGTGATCAATGATCTTGTGCCTAGAACTCCAAAACCCAAACTTCTCTCAGAACCACCTCCTTCAGCCGTGCTAGCTGGAATTCCTCCAGAGGTTCTCGAACAGACACCACAAACACCAATAGCAACAGATGGCAATTTGCCTGTGGGTCCCGCTCCAAAAGCGGGGGGTAAATTTACCCCCAGATTTCACCGCCAACCTGGCCGGCATCATCGGCATCAGCCCGGAGTGCGGGCCCCAAGCCAAGGGGAAATTTGCCAAAAACAGAAGCAAATGTTCCTCCTTCTTCGAGTGTTCTTCGTCAGTTGTGGACAGTCGTGGTTTCAAGAGGGATGCTAGTCCTTTGACAGAGTCTGACATGCAAGAACACAAAAGGTACATGCTTCCAACTTTGGCAGAGGCCATGCCAGAGAGTTCAAGTGCACAAGACTCCACTGGACAAGTTCTCAGAATGGTACAAGTGGATGGTGAGGTTTTGCCCGATGGAGATGAGTTGGGTGACGGTTGGGAGTACTATCTTCCAAGTGACGAAGAGTTTGACCCCTTTGAGCAATACAACTTTCTGGGAGCAACTCCACCTGACCTTAGCCCAGAGGATCTTGCGGCATTGGAGCTTCAGGGAGACCATGAGGAGATCTCAAACCTCATGAAAGCAGAAGTGTTGACGCCAGTTCCTGAAGAGGAGACCGTGGGAAAAGCCTTCATGTCGACACGCTATGTGAGAGACTGGAGGTGGCGTGATGGTCAGTGGAAGCGTCGATCGCGCTTCGTCAGTCGAGAGTTCTTCAAGTGTTGCTTGTGCAAAGATCTTATCTAGCATTTGCTTGCAAAAGGGTTGGAGCATGTGGTCGATTGATGTCAAGAATGCATATTTGCTTGTCCCGCAACGTGCAGAAGCGTATGTTGAACCTCCTGCAATCTGGGTGGTCGAGAATCCTGGAATGAAGTGGAGGCTTGACAGGCTTTTACCAGGCCAAAGGGTGGCAGCTCAAGAGTGGTGGAAGTTTGCTGTTTCCACTTTCAAGCAACATGGGTTTGAGGTGTGTCAGGCATGTCCTTGTCTACTTCGTCACGCTCACGGGCTTCTTTCGATGCACGTTGATGACCTGCAATTTGTGGGACCTGCAAAGGAAGGAGCTCAAATCGCGGAGGCGCTCCAGAAAGCTTTCACGATGGATGTACAAGGGCCATTCCATGAACCAGGGGATACATGTCAATTCTTGAAGAAGTACTTCCATTTCAATGAGGCTGGAATTGCGATTCGTCCGAATGAAAAGCATTTTCTGGCTTTGGAAAAGCTTTTGAAGTTGAGTTCCTTTGGCAAGAAGTTGAAGGGTCCTGTGCATCCAGATCTATGCAAAGAAGACCACGCCGATTTGTTGAGTGCAGCAAAAGCAGAGATGTATCGCAAAGCAGTTGGCATTATTTTGTACATCAGCAGTGACCGACCGGAGCCGGACGTTCAGTATTGCACAAAACTTTTGTAAGCTTACATGAGCAAGCCAACAGAGTTGGCGTGGAAAGGACTTTTGCGGTGCAGCCAGTATTTGATCCAAACGGTTGGCTATGCAGTGCAGTTGAAGCACAACACTCCTGGCGCAACATGGTTGGGAGCAGTTGGTGGCTATGATGAATATGTTGAAGGTGGCCAGTCCATATTAGAGTGCTACAGGGATGCAGATTGGGCTGGGCACATCAACAGAAAAAGCACAAGCGCTGGTGTGATCCTTCTGAATGGAAATGCCATTTATTCTTGGAGCAGAACTCAGCGCACGCCTGCTTTGTCGAGTGGAGAGAGTGAGTTCATGGCTCTAGTCACAGAATCACTCTATGTAAGAGCATGTTTGGAATTCTTGCTTCGAGATCAGGTGCAGATCCAGTTGAGGAGTGACAGTGTTGCTGGACGTGGCATTGCAAAGCGTCAAGGCTTGGGCCGTGTGAGGCATCTGGAAGTGCAATTCCTTTGGGTGCAACAAAAGCTGGCCGAGAAGCAGTTTCGATTGGGGCCAGTTGCTTCAATGGTCATTAGTGGAGATTTGGGGACCAAGTCTTTACAGGTGAATCGTCTCAGTTTTCTTTTGGGACTTCTTGGCATGGTAGATTGTCATGAGGAGTTTTCTTTAGTTGGTCGAGACGAGATGCAACGGCAGCAGCACGATCAAGAGTTCCGTGAAAAATTCAAGAATGCTCTCAAAGTGTTTCGTTACAGCTTTGAGAATGGGTCTGATGCATCCTCAAGGGACAATGCATTGGTGAAACTAATTCTTCAGATTTGCATGGTTTCAAGTTTGGCTCGTGGAGCCGATGGCAGGGAAGATCAGAGCATTGAGCAATTCGCATTTGACAGTACAGATTTCCTCTTTCTTGCTTTTGTGATGCTGGTCATTTGTGCTGTTTTCTTTGTTGGCATTTTGCTTGGCAGGAGCTGCGCCCGGCATGCGAGAAATGAAAACTTTGCTTTTGGAGACTGCAACAGTTGGAGTGCAATGCGATGACATTCGCAGGGCTCCACGCCCAGTGACAACTATGATTTGTGGAGTGCCTAGAGAGATCCTAGTGACACCTCGAGGCAATGCATATCATCACACTGAATGCAGCTATGTGCAAAGGTCTCCAAACGCCAAGAGATACACACCGTGTTCAGTTTGCATGGATGGTCTTCCCTACTTTGGACCTTCACAAAGCTCAAGCAGTGGGATTCAGAGTCCCCCACAGCCAGAGCCTGATCATTCGTGTTCCATAGACAAATGAGGGAAGCAGATCCAACTGCCGAGCCAGAAGCTGAGAATGTATAGAAAGGGCCTTGAGCCATCAGAAATCCCCAGTTCAGGTGCCCTGGCAGGAAAGAATCATGCCAGTGCAGGTGGGGTGTTGAACTTTGAATTTAGACCACTGAGGCCCTCTCATTTCAAGCCCTAGTAGATAAAAGAGAGTTGTGCGAGCTACCTTGTTTAACTTTGCCAAGACCTAGAAACCAATCGTCACACCACTCTTCTCGTGGACTTCTGGAGCCCCTCTTCCCAAGCACAAAAGGATGCAAACAAGTAAGATAGAGCAAGTTGTCTTTTTTGTTGACTTTGCTTTTTTGCCTTCTTGACCTCTAGAGCCTCTTCCAGCAGTTCAGAAACTTCTTTGGTTTCCTTGGCCTTGCGAGAAGCTATCAACTTGACAAGAAGCTCCGCTTGGGGCCTCGCGCCAACAGGACAACTGAAACACCGATATATGCTGCTTGAAGCAGGCAAAAAAACCTTGGACTGTTAAATGATAAGCCCGTGAAAAGTTTTTCCCGAAAGCATTGCGAAGGGTTCTTCCGGAAAATCCTTTGAACACTGACACTTCGACACTTACACTTACACACTGACACTTTCACCACACTTGCACGACAACATGAACGCTATACGTACCCCAGTGTAAGTGGAAGAGCGAAAGCAGCCAAGCGCAAAGTATGCAAGTGTCAAAGTATGTAAGTGGAAGTATGCAAGTGATGAGTATGCAAGCATGCAATGAGTATGCAAGCATGCAATGAGTAGGCAAGTGTGAGTATGGAAAACTACCACGGGAGATGTCCTAATGAAAAACATTTCCCCACTTTATAAGTTCTCTCTTAAAGGCGGAGGGTGGGACGAACAGCGTCAACCGAAAGTGCAACCCTCTGCGGAGATCGTGCGTGTCGAGTGCGCGGAATGCAGGCGAGAGTGCGATTTGCCGGCTGCCCGCGCAACCCTCTGCGGAGATCGTGCGCGTTGAGCGCGCGAAATGCAGGCGAGAGTGCGATTGGTGCGGTGCCCGCGCAGCCCTCTGCGAAGATCGTGCGTGTCGAGTGTACGAAATGCAGGCGAGAGTGCGATTGGTGCGGTGCGCGCGCAACCCTCTGCGGAGATCGCGCGTGTCGAGTGCGCGAAATGCAGGCGAGAGTGCGATTGGGTCTGAGCGCGTGCAACCCTCTGCGGAGATCGTGCGTGTCGAGTGAACGAAATGCAGGCGAGAGTGCGATTGGCGCGGTGCGCGCGCAACCCTCTGCGGAGATCGTGCGTGTCGAGTGCGCGAAACGCAGGCGAGAGTGCGATTTGCCGGCTGCCCGCGCAACCCTCTGCGGAGATCGTGCGTGTCGAGTGCGCGAAATGCAGGCGAGAGTGCGATTGGGTCTGCGCGCGCGCAACCCTCTGCAGAGATCCGGCGTGTCGAGCGCGCGAAACGCAGGCGAGTGGTGTACTTTGTAGTATCACTTTAGTACACGGAGTATCTGGGGAGCTGGAAGCTGAGAACTGGCGACTTTGTAGTACAACTTTAGTACGCGGAGTATCTGGCGAGCTGGAAGATGAGAACTGGTGACTTTGCAGTACAACTTTAGTACGCGGACTAGCTGGGGAGCTGGAAGATGAGAACTGGCGACTTTGTAGTGCAACTTGAGTACGCGGAGTATCTGGGGAGCTGGAAGATGAGAACTGGCAACTTGGTAGTACAACTTTAGTACGCGGAGCAATCTGTGGAGCTGGAAGATGAGAACTGGCGACTTCGTAGTACAACTTTAGTACGCGGAGTAGCTGGGGAGCTGGAAGCTCAGAACTGGCGACTTTCTAGTACAACTTTAGTACGCGGAGCAATCTGTGGAGCTGGAAGCTGAGAACTGGCGACTTCGTAGTACAACTTTAGTACGCGGAGTAGCTGGGGAGTGGGAAGATGAGAACTGGTGACTTTGTAGTACAACTTTAGTACGCGGAGCAAACTGTGGAGCTGGAAGCTGAGAACTGGCGAGTTTCTAGTACAACTTTAGTATGCGGAGCAATCTGTGGAGCTGGAAGCTGAGAACTGGCGACTTTGTGGTACACTTTAGTACGCAGAGTATCTGTCTGGGGAGCTGGAAGATGAGAACTGGTGACTTTGTAGTACAACTTTAGTACGCGGAGTAGCTGCTTCTCCCCTTACCAGCAGCTCAAATGCTCATGACGATGAGCTGGGCTGTCACCGCTTGGCCGCCGGTGGGGGGTTTGGGAGGCCGCATCGCACACAGACACCCACGCACTGCCTCAACTTACACGAACACACACACACACATACGCAGACTCATATACACACGGACATAGATACACACACAGAAACCCACACACTACCTCAACTCACTCGACTTAACACTTCGCACTGCACACTGTTATAACAGATAACTCGCACTCTGACTTCCTACCTGATGAAAAATGCTTTCGGGCCACTCGTCGTCTAGTTTTTTGCACGGGTGGAGCCGCCATTAATGCAGGAAGTGCAAAGACTGTGCAATTTGTGGGGAGAGTCTCTATCAAGAAGGGGCCAAAACAAAAGAACAAAACACAAAGACAAACCAACCCCCGAAACCAAAACAAAACCGACCAGCAGAAACGCAATGATGGAGAATTTATCTTGAAAGTAAGCTTGAATGTACATGCATAGGTGACGGTGAGACAGAGAGTGAAACCGAATTTGGGCAATGAGTTGGAGCAAAAGGGCCACGAAATTGGTCATCCAACTTGCAGTACGAAATGCTTGCTGGCACGTCTTGACACTTGGTCAGTAGGCCTGCTTAAGCAGGCTATGTCATCGAGCACTAGTGAGCTGTGTTCTCCGTGCTCATTGTGGAATGGCGGTCGAAAGAAGCTCTTGAAGAGGCACTGGCAAGCTAGTCGGGTAAATTGTGACAAACTGCACTTGAGACAATGTGTATTTATGGAAAACATGCGTATGTCCTCTTCTGCTCATGATTTCAGGTCCTGGAAAACCACCGCTGACACGCAAGCTCTAACGCGCCAAGCGAGAGGGCACTTATTGTCAACAGTGCGGCATTTCGTTGTTGCTCGTTGCGTTGATGTGTTTGACTGTCTATAAGCTTGAGGTGGCTACTAGCAAAGGCACATCGAAAGGGCAAGAGCATACGAGGGCTCCTGTAGCCTCCCTCCAGGAGGGAGGGAGGTGATGCAACCTCGCCGCGGTGCACCCCACAACAGCTTGGCCAGGAGGGTAGCACACAACATCGAGGTAGCGGACAATTGAGCGAACATCGTGTTCGGGCAGCGAGGCATTGTGCCCTGGCACGCAGTAAGTCGCGCAGCGCCCATGTGAAACCGGTTCGGGGTGGTGTTTGCTGTACACTTTGTACACGGCTGGCAGGGCAGTCGCCCACCCCCTGGACAAGGACTAACGTTCCCGCCAGGGATCCAGCCAATTGGGAATGCGAGCCAATTGTAGGTAGCTTCACTCTATCAGTGCACAGGGTTTCCCTCAAAGTTGCTATCTGGCTAATTAACGCGCAACGAAAGGTATACGCCCGCACATTTGCGGCGCATACTGCTACCTCTGGACTTCAGCAGCAAGTTGCGCGCAACCTAGGAAAGCTTGAGTCTGGATTTGCAAAGGCTCCCTGCTGTATGCACAATAGACGTTCGGGCAAGAGTACCTTACTTAGATGTTGGCATTTAGCAAAGGCTTCAGCACAAATCGTTGTAAGTGCTGTGTGTCGCAGGTCAACAGTCACGAAGTGCTGACATTCTGTACAGGGCCCCCAGGTCAACATATTCTAGTAGTTTACGATTCTCACAGGCTACGGCCCCCAAACATGCCTTAGGCAAGTGGAGCCGGCGTGTGTGCCCGTTTTGATTCGACCGTTCACACAGTGGGGAGAAAGGAACTAAACAAAAAAAGGTGAGACTCTGCGCCGATGCCAGCCTACCTTCTGACCGCTCGCTCCCACACTTTAGCGCATCATTGGGAGGTCCAGGGCTTCGAAGAGACCTCAGGACGTGGCCACTGAGCCGCCAGATCAGTACGGGAGTCATCGCGCACATTGTAAATAAGAGTTGTTCCCGTGTGGGTCTATGAATTTCCTTGCGCAGTATCCGAATCAGTGAGCAAGTCGTCTTCGAAGAGGTGTGCTTGAGGAACTATTAGTTTCTTCTCTAATGCAGTAGCGTTGCTCACGGGTGGTTTGCACGGCGGTACGGGCTCTCATGTGACCCCCTGAGACTTCAAAGAAGGAAAAGGGTCATCATATATGCTCTGCGCAATGATACCTAAGGCTTCTTTGGAAAGCATCTTTGAGACTTTGGACAACCTCAGACAAAATCGACAAGAGACAAATGACGGTCTACAGTCAAAAACCTTGAGCCCATACTGGATAGCACTTATTGCCACTCAAGGCAATTCCTGAGGGTACCACCAAGAGAATAACCAATCAATGACTTAGCAGCACCTAAGGAGGCCACCAAGACAAAGATGTCAAGAGTCACCAAAACAAAGATGCACCAAAGACAAAGATGCCACCGAGACTACTGCCAAGTCGCCTGACCCAGCGGGCCCCTATGTCTGCTCCGGTTGGCTTGTCAACTATGAACAGAAAGGGCGAGACGACATTCGCGCACGCTCTGGCGGAGACAGCATGCGATATTTCTGGCGGTCAATGATGGCGAATCTGCTATTCTGTGGGTTGTGAATGGTTGCGTCATGACAAGGACTAATCCGTGCGTCCACTAGC